ATATTCAAAAGACTGGACACGATTAACATAATGATTGTCCTTCATGACATTTAAATGACCCCTTGCAGGAGGAATATCATTGGGTTTATTGGGGCATCGTGATTGTTTGTGTCCAATTGTTTTACAAAAATGGCAGCGTACAGCGGTTGGGTGCCAACATGTGGAAGGGAGATGACTCTCCCCACATTTATTGCAGGACATGTCCTTATTGGTGCTGTTACGATTTTGTGTATAAGTGTTCATGGGTCTTGGCTTGTTGGTGTTGATATATCCTGATTGTCTTGTGTTGGTTGATGTAAGTGTTGAAGTTGTCGTTGGAGGGTTCTTTGGTTGATGTTCCTTGCGGCTGATCTTAGTTTGAGGGCTGTTCCTTTTGTTACGGGGTAAAGTGACATCATCACATGTGGTTTTCAGTTTGAGGTTTTTAACCAAACTATTGGTTCCAGCGTCACTTAGATGCAGTTTATCTGGACATAGGTATCCGTTATTGATAGACTATATATTTGTTTGTTGTTTTCTTGTTTCCAAATGAGAATTCTTTTGTGGTAGGTGGTACCATGGTAGTCACACTTATTTCACTCAATTTCACTCTACAATTTGACTGAAATATCTGATTTTCTATATTTTATATATATACTTTATACACACAGTTTAGATACTTGTAACTCACAATCTATAAATAAATAAAGACGTCATAGGGAAGGTTATTTCAAATATCATTTGTCAAACCATAAAATGCTTGAAAATCCATATCGATGATTCATAATAACAATGAGCTATAATATTTAACAATGTACTAATAAATATTTAACCATCATAAAAAATATGAGGAACTCACTATAGCCATTGACATCACTTTGACATCATTTATCATGTCTATCACCAATTTCTTACTTTATAACTTTTTTATGATACTATACTACTTGTGCAAAAGGAATGAACTATTGATGTTTTATGAGAAAAACTTCTCTGAAGCCAATAACCTACCCTTTGCATTCGTTCGACTTCATTTCTTAAAAGAGAGCTTCGTCTTCACTCTTTCAGTTTACAATAAATCTCTGATCTCACCGAGCCAATCAGAGTTTGTCGTCGAAATACAGATGACTTTCTATATGGTCATTTCCTCCGACATCCCCGCATAGTTAATGAGCACATATTTAGCGCATGTTCCTTTCACTTTCCTTATTGGTTGAGAAAGGGTCAGTGTGGAAGATTTAAAAATATTACCCGGCCTCAACACTCTGGAAAACAACAATAAGATTTTCAAAATCTGCCCTAAAACAGTGTTCCTTGTTCCCAGTTGGCACTGGTGTTCTATACAGAGAGGGTCAGTTAACATGTAATTCATATTGAAAAATATTTGGTTCTTTTGAAAACTGTTCCTTGTTGACAGGCGTTCTTTACAGAAATGTGTTCCATCAGCAGGTTCACTGTAGACTTACTCAGTTTATTCCCCAACCCATGGCAATACTTCTACTTACTCTGGATCCTTTAGAATGTCGAATATCTTCTCAAAATACGTATCTCTCAATATTCAGACAAAAATTCGAAAAAAGGGGCAGCCCCCCCCTTGATGTACATTGTAATTTGTTGGGTCTTCTTTTATAAGACTCTAAAGTAAATTGATCTCAATAGAAAATATATCTCCCTTTCTAGCATTTCATAAAAGGAGGTTGATTAACTGTTATAAATGATCTTTAATTATATGAACAATACACGATATTGTAAGATGGAGACTATTAGAAAATGTCACTGTAGTCACATTTTGAAATGAAAAATAGAGTGGAAAAGAGTGTAATTAGCAAGGAATAAAGTAAACAGACATATTGTCAACACTCTAAATTGTAAAGAAATGCAAGAAAATCAGACACTTTATTCAAATTTTAGAGAGAAATTGAGTGAAATAAGCATGCACAACATAGCTTTTTTCTTATGGGATGACTTCTATTCTGAGGTACATTTAAAGTAAGAATTTTATTTATGGAGTCGCATGTTTTTTTATTAAATGTTATATTGCTTTACTTCTAGACCAATCAATGTTTGGTGGAGCATAGCATTTATCTAAGGCAGTTGAAGGTCTAACTATCCATGCATGGGCTTTGGCTTTCAAGTTGCCATGGTTATTCAATTTAAATTAGTACTTTGTACTGGTTTTGCACGGACGTCAGATACATTCTTCGAACCCAATCTCCTTTCGCCAGAACATTCTTTTCAACTTTGAGGTTTTGCAAGTTTCTAGTTCTTCAAATTCTTAATTTTACCATAATCAATGAAATTATTTTGAATTACTGAGAAATTCTCATTATTAAAAGCTAGTATACCATTATTTATCGGTCATTCTAGGCAACTTGACTTCTAGTTTTAAGGCATTTTTGTTTTTGCCATGATCTGCCACTGAAAATGTAGCAATAGGATATTAAATCAGAATAATTGTTGTGTTTTACAAGCCCCGGATTCGACAAGTCTTATCAAGGTTTCTTCCCTCTAAAATTATACCACAAGAATGATCATAAACAAGCATAATACTGTTAACTCTTGGCTACTAACCAGGCCTCGCAGTTGATATGACCCCCAACTAAATAAAATCAGTTCAATGGGGCAGAATTCTCGTAAAACAATTCAATGGGAACAGGCGGTCATGGTAACTGAATAAAACAAATATTCTATTTTAGATATCTATCTTGACATTTATGTCATAAAGTAAAATGCACGTAAAAGTAATTTAAAATTGTTTTCCTGGAATTAATATGATGTTTTTATGGATTTTTTGAAAAATATGTATCTGTATATACATGTATTTAGGGAAAATATGAGGCTAGAATGAAAAAATGAATTTGGAACAATTTTTGCAAAGATTAATTGCTTGCTACTGTACCTACCTTTATTTACTAAGAAAGAAATGAAAAATATATGCATATACTCTAGTAGCTCATGCTGGTTGAGTATGCACTTCTATGTCCAGAGATTTTCTCTTCAGAAATCATCTATGTGAAGGTCATTGATCAATTTTGGCTTGGTAACATATTTGCCACAGAAGGCGAAATAGGTCAAATGGCCACGCCCTCTTTTACGCGAATACTCCCCCCCCCCATTTTTGCATCTCCTGAACCGTTGGACATAGAAGGTTGTGTGACCACTCAAAATGTCCGGAATGGCCTTATTATAGGGGGTCAATAATACATATGTATTTAAAAAAGTCAATGGTTCTCAAGATATTTGCCAAAAACTGATTTTAGCATGTTACGCACAACAGTTTTCATCTATCCTGCATCATTTAAGACTGAATCCGCAGCCTCTATCTAGTCAGATCAGCGAAGGAAACAAACTTTTTTGGTTGTTGAGTTGGCCATAAGTATAAGGTGCTAGTACTGTAAATCAGCGTTCTAAGATGTAAAATAATACAATCAAAATTGTATCATACCTTTTCAATGCTGTAATTAAAAATTGACATAATGTTTGCATTTCAATTCTCCAGGGTACTGAGAAAAATTAATATTTTAGTGGAAAAGATAAAAAAAAATGATCTGTTAGATCAAATAATTAATACACTAGTGGCAAATGGGTCTTTTGCTGACAAAGTGGCCTAGTTTATGCCTCAGTTACTTTATTATATATAACATATTTTGAATTAACATAGTTATTCAGCACTTGATTTGATAGATGTAAGCATGTTACATGGAGTTCTTTATTGTAAATAAAAGTCATTATTTTAAAAAGTATACAAATTTGTAATATACATGGATATTTAATATGAAAATTATATACATGTAGTATACATGCCTGGTACACAGGCCAGGCCCGTAGCCAGGATTTGCCAAGGGGGGTTCATTTTTTGAAAAATTCCAGGGGGGTTCACTTGTGACAATTTTGGTCCTAATATGGCCAAAATCACTTATAGAGTGCTCAGAAAGGTGAAAAATTGCATGATTTTGAAAGATTTTTTTGGCTGGGGGGGGGGGGGGCTACGGGCCTGCAGGCAAATTACATTGGGTCCTGTACAAGGTTATACAAGGAGCGATCCATATATTCTGATAAAAATGCTCTCATTTTGTGATTTTTTTTCACATATCCCTTTAATTTTTTCAGAACATGTAGATTATGTAATTACATATATGATGCTAAAATATTTCAGCTATATCTTAAATTAATTTTGAAATAAGATTGCCATGGTAACCTGTATATACGGTAGGCAGGTCAGTTAAATTATAACGTCTAAAATAGATAAATATGTTAATTTAATCATTCCTAGGTACCTATTTTAAGCAAATCAAACGCATCTTTCAGTCATTGCCAACTATTCATTGATCTGTTCCATACCCCTGTTGCCCTTGTTTGATAATTTATACAGTGGGAAAGCTTTCTTTTCATAAGTAACATCTCAATTTATCGTAGTGTTATTCTCTGTCTGCAAGCTCTTCTTGCAACCAGATTGGGGATGATCTTCAACAGTGACCATGCCTTCTCTTTACAATACTACCTGTAGATTCTTTATGCAGATATAACACCTTGCCCATGCACTTAATGAGTCCATGTATGTCTCTGACAGTGTCCTCTTACTTGTTCTTGAAAGAAAATAAAATCTAATGGTATTCCCTAATGTATCCGTTAATGTCATACTCTGCATCAGCCACATTGACCTCATCTGACAATTTGATTTTTGGTGTGTCTCATAACATGTAATGTCAATTGGCCCATTCTGTCCTACAATGCTATTGTGATTTGTTGTGATGTTATAGTGAGCACATATAAACATTTGTTTAGCAACAAACAACGAGTAACAATACCAAACTTTTTTAGAAAAAATGCATGATTTCCGCATGCTTTGAAATAATTAAAATAACAAGTTATTATGATATTTATATGTCATAATTTAATTGACCTGCCTATCCTTAATACAGGTTACCATGGCAACCTTATCTCATTGATAATCTAAGATATAGCTATAATATTTTAGCATTGTATGAGTAATTACATAATCTACATTTTTTGAAAAAATGAGAGGGATATGTGAAAAAATCACAAAATTAGAGCATTTTTATCAGAATATATGGATCGCCCCTTGTACAAGCCACATTCCCTATATAGGCTCTGTACAACCTTGTACGGGTCTAGTGATGCGTCCCGTACTTGCTCGTAAGAACCCATAACTTTTGACCCACATCCTTTTGCATGCTTGAATAATAGTTCAATTACGAGCCTCGTACATGCTCGTTCAAACTTGTATGGTGCCCAGTATAAATTACCTGTGTATATACTAATCACAAGATTCTAAGGCATAAAACTTGTAGCAAGGCTGGCACTTGTTGGACTTTCAACTTTTGTTGGGTTAAGGTTTAAATTATCAGAAGCTTTATTTAATTGAAAGAAGCTATTGAATTGATAGTTGCCTTCGTGCCTTGTATAACATACTGGGGGTCAGTTGAATTTAGGCTTTGCTCTTAGAGTATCATTTGTATTTTATTTATTCAGGCAATGGGATTATACACAGCACTAGAGATATCAAGGTGAAGTCCAAGCAACTGAACCAAGATGCAAGATTCATGGTGGTTATTAACAGGAAAATTGACCAGACATACTATTGCAACATTGATATAATAATGCCTGATCTTTCATGCCATGTGATCTGATTTTATATAAATTAGTCTGTTCTGTCCGGTAACATTGACCATGTAATCATACAAACTTGACAGTGATATATTTTACATATCCTAATATTTACAGTGCCATCTGAAGTCGAGGAATGTTAATGATTGGGGTGTATTGAGAGTACCTCCCATATATCCAATTCCCCCATTGGGATGTATTGAGAGTACCTCCCATATATCCAAATCCCCCATTGGGGTGTATTGAGAGTACCTCCCATATATTGGGGTATATTGAGAGTACCTCCCAGATATCCAATTCCCCATTGGGGTGTATTGAGAGTACCTCCCATATATCCATATCCCCCATTGGGTGTATTGAGAGTACCTCCCATAAATCCAAATCCCCATTGGGGTGTATTGAGAGTACCTCCCATATATCCAAATCCCCCATTGGGGTGTATTGAGAGTACCTCCCATATATTGGGGTATATTGAGAGTACCTCCCATATATCCAATTCCCCATTGGGGTGTATTGAGAGTACCTCCCATATATCCAAATCCCCCAATGGGTGTATTGAGAGTACCTCCCATAAATCCAAATCCCCATTGGGGTGTATTGAGAGTACCTCCCATATATCCAATTCCCCCATTCCATATCATGTTTAGAGAATGCTCACTTATAGTTTGTCTTTTTTGTATATAATCAAACCAATGTACACAATATTAAAACGAGCAACATTACAAACATATTTAGTCCTTTGGGTTTTATACCAATATTTGTTCGACATTCGGGTATATCTGCCAGCAGGAATATCATACTTTACCATGGAGAAAATAGTGGAGTTTTCATTCTAAAATCAGTTTTTGGCAAATATCTTGAGAACCATTGACTTTTTTAAATACATATGTATAATTGACCCCCTATAATGTGGCCATTCCGGACATTTTGAGTGGTCACAGAACCTTCTATGTCCAACGGTTCCGGAGATGCAAAAATGGGGGGGGGAGTATTCGCGTAAAAAAGGGCGTGGCCATTTGACCTATTTCGCCTTCTGTGGCAAATATGTTACCAAGTCAAAATTGATCAATGACCTTCACATAGATGATTTCTGAAGAGAAAATCTCTGGACATAGAAGTGCATACTCAACCAGCATGAGCTACTAGAGTAATATGGTTAAGCCTAAATTTTTCTTCCAAAGTCAGATCCAGAAAAGTCCATTCCATTAAGCAGATGGTTGAAAAAGGTCAACCTATTTTGACTATGTAAACTGTACCTGATTGCCTTTTCTTGCTAATTCCACTACTTATGCAATATTCAGCATTCCAAAACTCTGTCGATCTTTGAGATATATTGTGATCTGAAATAGAATCTTAGAAAAAAGGACTTGCGGCGAGTCATAATAAACCAACTAAATTGCAACCAATTAAAATATGATGTTTTCTTATGTCATAATTTAACACAACGTGACAAACAAACAAATAAAACAATTGAACTAATAAGAGTTTCTGAAATATGACACAAAAAGTGACAGAGAGTCAGTGACCCATACAATTTACCCTTGTCAAGAGTTCAATATTGTGTCATCAACTCTCTTTAGATAAGAAATAATTTAGCTTTAAATTTAGATTTAGCTTTACCCAATCAGGTAAGTTTGATCAAGCTAATGCCTTGGTCACATTTGCTCCGATTATTACTACGGCGCCTAAGCGATTGAGTATTTTGTTCAAAATTGAAAACAATATTGAACAAAACACTCAATCGGCCGGGCGCTGGCGATGGATCGGAGCAAATGTGACCCAGGCATAAGCGACTATATCTACTAGTCTAGCTATACGTTCTTGTGTGAGAAGGTGTGTAGTCAAGTAAAGGAAGGGGGTCACAGGGGCTGGTAGCTAGATTAAGCTACTATAGCTACCTCATTCAGATTAATCAGAGTCCCTCTTTTTCAAATGCCTTAGTGTATTGCAAGGGATATCAGTAATATTCATTTTAGATAAGAGATATGTAAGCACAGATGCCATAGGAATAAAAGAGCGAAAAGAATTTAAAAAAAACGTATATAGAAATATTGAAGAGTTCAACCTGTCATTTGGAAGCAAATCCCCACAATCCCCACATCTCAAGAAAGTCTAATATACAAAAATACATTGTCTTACATCCCCTTCAAGTGTGAAAAAATAAGAGCTTTCTTGTCTATTAAATCACAGTATCCAGGCCACTTTATTTTTCTGTGTTGTTTGATTGTTTGAAGCTGCTCATTCTACCCAACCAATCGAGGCATCCTTGGTGATAAAATTCATGATTTAATCTTTTTTAACAATTGAGCAGTGTCATAAAATCAACAAATTAATCAACTTTTTAAAAAACAATGATGTAAAATACAAGTTTAAAATATAGAGGTATCATTGACCGCATAATGGGACGAGTTTTGATGTAAACATTCCAATTACACTCACATAACTTGTCTTGTTACTTCGTTGACGTCTTAGGTTGTTCACTTCTGGCGTGATCTTGAATGGCCCCCTGGGAACTTTTAGTCTCAATGAAGAGAGAATCACAATTGAGATTGAGAGAGCTCGATTTAATTAATTAATTTATATGCGAATCCACGAAGATTTGTGGTAAAAAATAAATGAAAATAGTTCAGATAATTATCGTAAAAGGCCGTCGATTGAATTTGAATGTATGATATGTCTTCTGCTTTGTTGATAATCACGGTGCATTATGGTACCAAGAACTGTTTATAAATATGTTTCTTAAATGATTGTCTCAGTAATGGGCATAAATCAGTCAGGAAACGGAAAAGCAATGTTTACGAGGTTAGTACAACACATCAGTGTGAAAGAAAACCCGTTCAGATTGTTTCAATATGCTGTTCGATTTTAGCATCGTTTTTCAAAAATATTGAATAAGGTGTCACATTTTTTGCATTTCTGTACAGTTTTGAGAGTAAATTGTATGCATAGTTGATTTATTTCATGTTATTTCCTCTATTTTTCTTGCAGTTATGCACTAGAAATCATGGCTGCAATTCGATTTTTCATGAAGACAAAAACTGTTTGCACAAAGTTGTACCTCAGTCATATTTGATACTGTAGAAACAATTTCCAGAGTGAAATCCTATAATGAGGATATTGAAAATGAGGAATTAGAAATGTCAAAGCTAAAGTGTATAATGTAGGTCAATGACCAAGAATATTCATGGTTTTTACTAATTTGCACTTTTTGAAATAAATCACAAACCAACCACAAATAATGGAATTCAAACACTACTATACACTTTTCTGTCTCCCTTCATCTTTGTATTGTTGTATTTATGTATATTTAATGAATTAAATTAATAATAAATTAATACTGAAGCTGTTGTGAAAAACACAAAGAAAAACATCTTAAGATATACCCCTTTAAATCAAATTTTTCTTTGAATATTATAGGAATATCCTATGGTTTTGAAAAGAGATCATTTATATCCATGAATGGATGTTGATATCTTCAAGAGTGAGTGAGTGAGCGAATGAGTGAAGATATTTATATCCATAAGTGGATATAATTGATATTTTTGAAAAATATTTTTAAAAAATTAAAAGATTTTGAATAAAAATTTTGAAAAAGTTGAAATTCTGAAAAAATTGAATTTTGAAAAAATTACAAAAAAATAAAATTTTGAAAAGAAATTTGTAAAAAAAATTGAATTTCTGGGAAAAAATTGAAACCATTGATATATCACTTTTAAAACCTTCAAATATCAATTTTGAAACCATTGAATATCACTTTTATAAGAGGTGATATTCGATGGTTTGAAAGTGATATTCGATGGTTTGGGATTTTTTTGCTAAAATATGATCACGTGATATTCGATCTACACTGTATTACCATTTGCCATCTATCTTAAGTATTGCCAACTATCTCAGGTGTTACCTTTTACTTTTCAGGCCAGTATTACAATTTGTCATCTATCTCAGATATTCCCTTTTGTCATCTATTTCAAGTATTACCATTTGTCAACTATTTCATGTACTACCATTTATTGTCTATCTCAGGTATTTTCTACAATGTCATCTCAAGTACAGTATTACCATTTGTCAACTATCTCAGGTATTACCATCTATCTCAGGCATGTACACAGTTCAAATTGGAACAATTACAGCAAATGATTGATGAAACATTGAGAGCAATTCTCATAAACAGTGAGAAAGTCATTTCTAAATGCAAATAGTACAAAAACAGCATAAATAAATTGCCTTCAATGGAATAATGACGATATATGACGTTATTTCATTAGTATTGCGTTGGTTCAGTTGGTGTAATGATTTCTACATTTAATAAAAATAAAGTGTTATTCTAAAATATCACACCTGCTCTAACTTATATTCTCCCTAAAGGTTGACTTAGTTGTCTAATTTTCTATCAATTCTATGTTATTAAGTAGGTTATTTACTGTTTACTCTTTTACATTCTACTTAGCATTTAGGCAGTTTGTATTTGATATGGTTATGATTATTTAAATCAATCCCAGCTGCAGATGTTAAAAAACAGGCTGAGATTTTATTTGTGTATCCCTTGATCTGCTCAGTTGCTAAGCTGCAGATGTTAAAAAACAGGCTGAGATTTTATTTGTGTATCCCTTGATCTGCTCAGTTGCTAAGCTGCAGATGTTAAAAAACAGGCTGAGATTTCATATCTTCAACACTACAGGTTTTGGGGAGGGAGGGATGTGATGCAACAGTTAAGTATATCCTCTTTAAATATATGCCATTGTCTCCTAAAGGAGCAGTCAATGTCCCTTCCTGTCATTCTCTTTCTTTATTCTTAATTTCCCTACTCACCATCCCCCCCCCCCTTCGACTTTAATCTTTCTCTATTTTACTTTCTCATTCCACTTTAACTTATATCTTTCTCAATTGTTACTTGAAATCACTTTCCGTTTTTAGTTTCTCATTCTGTTTTAATACACATTTTAGATTTTAGGGCCATTTGGTTTTCTGATGGTTGTTTCATAGGTAACATCAACCCACGTCACTTTGTGCCTCATAAATTCATTTGGCAACACCCACAGATATTTTTGTGATCCAATAAGGCTGGGTTTAATAAATAAATGTTTAACATCAATTCAAGATTTTTCAATAATTGATGGTAGAATCAAGGCTGAAGTCAGGAGGGGTCCCACTTGTCAAAATCTGGTTATGGGTCTTTAGAATGGAACTTTTTTTTGCTTGAAGTGATTTGGTAGGAGTCACAATGTCCACTTAATCAATAAGAATTCAAAGATCAAAGAATAGCCCATACTAGCTTCAATAGATGGAGGATCCAAAGACTCAAAACAAGAAATACAAGAATAATCTCTTCTTTGAAAAGCCAAGCTCATGTAAAAGGTTAAGGGAATCAGGCCCGTAAGACACTTTTCTCCAAGGGGGGTGCGGTTTTAAATAAAGAGAAAATAAAGTTGTCAATTTTTTGACCAGTAAATCAAATTGCGGAAGTCAAAGGGGGGGGGGGTCAGTTACTCCCTATATTGGGGCCACTCAGCTTATTTTGTAGTATCTTACAGTATTGTTTTCATATTGTATGAGCAATTTGGAGAAACGCTGTAATATGGGGAGGGTGTACTCCAATGGCATAAATGCCCGAGAACTTTTACCAGTTCAAGATCACATTCAGTGATTTCTGGACCCTTTCAAGGTATTTTAATTGAAATAGAATCTATTTATAAGAAATTCAGATTGTTTCAATCATTTTCTTCTTAGGGGAGCGAGGGGGCAGCAAGGAAAATTTTACTAATTCAAGATGCTGTCTGGTTATTTCTGAGCACTTTTAATGTGTTTGAGTAAATGAATGCTTTAG